GTTTTTTTAAAGAGGTTTTTAAAACTGTGTTTGATCTGTAGTTTTTAAAGAGATTTTAAATCTGTTTTCTTGAGTGTGGTTTTTTGGGGGGTCCTTGCAGAGTGAGAAGCAAGAAATAAATGCTATGAATTACAAAGAACTAAAGGTATTTTGAGGAGCACACACAAAAATGAACGAATAAAAGATTTCATTTTTAAAAATGATACTGAGCGAAAGATTTGGACACTCCACACGCATGGAGATGAACCCTGTTTAAAACTGGAAAGAGAAGAGAGGACAAGAGAGAAGAGAAAACTGAGTGATTCAACTGTCACTACCTTCATGTAATTAGAAGCGATAATTGCATATTTTCTGGAGAAGCATATGTGCACACAGCTTCCGGTCTAAAGCCTCCTCCTGGTTTATGGAGCTTCGAAAGTAAGTCAATGATTAAGATAGCAATTTGGGCCTCGGTCCACCCTGGGAAAACCCTCTGTTTTCCATCTTCTTCTTTGGCTCCTCATGGCGTCGCAAGATTTTGTGTTTCAGACCAAATTTATTTATGTCTGATTCACAAGAAAAGATCACCATCAAGCGTATGGGTGTGTCACTGGAGACTAAGATCATCCACACTCTTTCCTATCCGTATTGGGGTCTCCCTCTTTTCCTGCTGTCTTCCACCTTTCCCAACCTTATTGTCTTTTCCGGACAACTCTGCCTTCTCCATGATGAGCGTCAGTTTCAACATTTTGAACTCCAGGAGATCATTTAGGATTGATTTGATCTAGGACCCACTTGTTTGTCTTTTCTGGCCATCCGGGGTATCCACAAAGCTCTCCTCCAGCATCATGTTTGTAAATTACTTCTACACGATGGAAAACCTTTGAAGTTTTAAAAAATTCAAATTTTAAGAACAGCCAAAAGTTTTCCCATTGAACAAAAACTCCTACACCTTCGCAAGGATGCAAGCAAGTGAAAAGTGGCTCTCGGCCATCAGAACCTATGACCATTCTGATCAAAGTGGACAGGTGAGTTGAACAGGTGAGCAGGAACTTATCTATGAACCTGGGCTTTCTCTGCCTACAGAGTCATGTGAATTCTTCAGCAGCTTTAGAAGATTTCCTTGCCTAGTCTTCACTAGCCTGGTACTCTCCAGTTGTGTCAGCGTAACAGTTCCATCATCCCCGCCCAATTAAGATTATGGGAATTGTAGTCTGACACATCTGGCGGTCCTAGATTGGAGAAAGCTGCTACAGACAAGGGTGAGCTTAATAACAGAAGCATAATTTAGATATTCTAAATTGTTTTCCTCAACAAAGAGAAAGGATGATTTAAGGGTGGGAAAGTCTGTTACTGTCGGGTTCTCCTCCATTCAAGTTTCTTTTTTAAGTCTTAAATTCTTTCATTCCCAATATATGATCACTAAACTTAGGTGAGGTCTAGAAAAATTAACTCAAACATGTCATCCACACACCCTGGCTTTTCAACAGGTGCAACATGGGTTATGTTGTAGTTGGACCTGCATGGTATGGATAAAAGAACTTCTCAAGGAAAGAAGGGGAAACTCAAATCCAGTAATCATCCCGTGAATACACAGGGATTTATGAGATCTGACATTTCACACAATAGCAATTGGATGCTTACCTTCAGGGCTACAAAAAGTTTAGAAAACTTACTGGACTACAGCTGCCAGAAACCCCAGCAGGGAGGTTCTCTAGCCACATTGGTTGGACAATTCCTGTAAGTGCAAGTCATTTCCCCCCCAAACCTCTGTGATAGTGAACATCTGTACCACCCTTAACCACCAATCTTGGATCCTAAAATCAATAGCAAAGCATTGCAAAATAACTTGCTAGGCAACAATTTTCCGAATCTACTGACCTGCATGGGTTGGAAAAGTGACACTCTACCCATGCCGGTTTGTAGGTTCTGGGAGTGGTAGACCAAAAATATGATTTTCCTAAACTCCAGGGTGATTGTTCATCTAGTCTCCTTGGTGACCCACCAGTGGAATGAGCTGACTTGGATTTCACAGGCATGGTGAACCTGCTCTAGCTTCTAACTCATGCTTCAAAGGCGTTCTCCAAGGTGCTGAACCCAGGAGTATCCAAAGTATTCAATATAGTTGGAAAGTACAGTTCATCACCTTGGAGAGCACCCAAAAAAGTCCAAACTAAAACCCAGAGCAGATTCCCTGTATAAACCAGAGTCACCAGCGTTCCACTACAAGCCCCTCTTGTTTTGTCCTTCTCTCTGCTAAGACTCTGTGGTCAAAATTCGGTCACCCTGATCACTTGGAATAATCACGGCAGAAGAGACACAGATATCCACAAAATTCCTGGGGCCAATGGCGAGCTGTACGGCGTGGCCCACACAAAAGTGGCTGCCCGTTGTGCGATCTGGCGGTTTCGACAAGCACGTCTCACCAGCCTGCACACACCAGGATCCCAGTGGGGGGAATCAAGACAGCTGGTTCATCCACTCTGCGCAGCAGTGTAGAAACAACAACAGGACGCACGAAGGCAGGCTGAAAGGCAGGGGGTGGGAGAGATTAACATGTCCTAAAAGAGTTTTTATGAAGGCAGTTCATGGCCAACAGGAGCTCTCCAGGCCCAGAGAAGAAGCATGAAGGAAAGGCGTGAAAATAGGCAGTGACAGGAGAATCAAAGTAGCTGCAATGGAGTCGTCAGAATGGAAAAATCTCATCTCTCCAGCTCATCTCTCTCTCTCTTAAGGTGACATTGGGAACCCATTGTTTTCAACCCCAAACCCTTCTTTTGTTCGGTGGGCATGGAGGAAGCAACCTCAGGGCTGACACACTAGCCTCTGGTGACCTGTGGCTCAAAGCCACCCACAGCTTCCAAATAAGCAATTTTTGCAAACCAAAGATTGCTGTTACATAAGGGGATGCCGAGGAGCCCGATCGGTGCACGAACAAGGCATTATCAGCTCGCGCGGCGACGGGTTCAAAGGCCCCAAAAGCTGGAGGCAGAGCGATGGGCCCCCCTTGAATAACTCCCTTCCACTGGGGGAAAAAATTACCCAGTGACGCAAACCGTGTAGGACATGGTGTCGGGTTGAGATACCCAGACTAACCTAGTGGCTGCAACACGATCTTGTTTACATGGAAGCATTTCCTGCTGCAATCGTCACACCCTCATCTCCACCGGCGCTCTCCTAGGTTTGGAAACGACGGGCAAACGAGCTGCCTCCCATCGTCCTCACCTCTGGCTGGTGTTCTCCCTTTTGACCAAGAACCCTTCGCCTGGCATGCCCTCTCTGAAGAATGCCACCACCCTCGCTTTCCAGAGGGACTCAGTGCATGGCAGCCACTTGGCCCTGCCACGACCTTCCTGGAGGTTTCTCAGCTCCTAGCAGAAGCTCGGTTCAGGATCATGGCCTATTTGCCACAGGTCCCTAAGTGGAAAGCCAATTTGCTGTTGACCACTGGGGCTCAGAAGGAAGAGCTTAGGAATGGAATACTGCCATCCCTTCCTTTAGACACACGGAGAACAAAAAAAGATGATAAGAGAAGTGTTGATGAATCACGCCAACCTTTCCTGTAGTTTAGCATCCTTCCTCCCACAATGACCCGCCACACATCTCCATGGTCCCCCATCCCCTGCTTCCCAACAACCGGTACACTGCATCTGAATCTGGAGGTACTCTTTCGCTATTGGGAGTGAGTGATTGTACATGGCTTTGGTCTAATCTAATTTGAACCTGGTCGAATTTCCATGAGAGATGCGGGGCAGGTTTGTCGTAGCCTGAACATCGGATTAGGGCGGGACAGGCCAAGGTTCAGAGGCTGTGTTCAGTCCCGTCGATCAAGTTCACTGGGTGACACACACACAAACACACACACACCCCGGGGCAGCTTTTGTCTCTCAGACTAAATCAACACACACCGTTGTTGTGCGTGGGAAAAGAGGAGGAAAAGAAACCTTACATTTCCTTGGCGGAGCAACGGGATGCAAATCTGACATATAAACAGCTAAGCAAGCTGGAAAATTTGGAAGGAGAAGGATTAGCGTGAAAGTCTTTGGGCACGGTTGATGGGTATCCGTCAGGAGGGTAAGGAAAGACGAAAGGGAAGGGGAGAGAATAAACAGTGGACGAAATCTGAACGCATAGGTAGAGGGGCTTGGCTGCCAATTCTGGAGTTGGTTCTAGTAAAAGTACTGGGTTTAAATGCATCAGCGCTTGGTGTAGGGGAGAGTGAGTGGTGCAGAAACCCCCCAGCCCTTCACAAGATTGGCATGGAGGGCTGACAGTGGAAGAGTCTAGGGAAGGTGGGTTGCTTGAGGTTCCTGTCTTCATGGGCATCCATAGTGGTATAGGTCAATGCAGGTTCATCAAGCGGGTGAAAACAAACTGGCAGGCAATGGGAGTCAGCGCAACCAGCGTAGGTTGGCACCAGAGGCAAGCTCAACCCAGATTCCCACCCCCCACGCCAGTGCCCATCTCTGCAACCAAGGACACCCAAGTTACGATCGGGACAGGGAAGCAAGGCAGGGTGGGGTTGGCACCATCCCATCAGAAGCAGCGGGGATGCCGTTCTTTCCGATGCCGGTCTTAGGAATGTGGGTGGCCCGCCCTGAAAATCTGGGGTCCACCGGCAGCTCTTGGATTGCAAGTTTCTGTGAGACAAGCTTGTCCACCTGAATGCCTGCATCTCCTCTCATGGTCCATGGATGCCATGTCTGGTTTGGACCTCCCCCCATCGCTGCCACCCCTCATCTCTGGTGCCCAGATCCCCATCAGGGGGTGGGCACCACCTTCCTTGTATTTCAAGTCTGTCTCCCGGGCCGTCCCTCTGCTCTATTGCTCCAAGTCCAGGGACACCATCTTCCAGGCGCCCCAAAACTCTGGCCCAGCGGCCGAGTCGGGACTTTGATGGAAGCAGAACAATGTGCCCCTCTCTGACCCCACACATCCCACCCATCCAGCAAAGGAACAGCTCCCAGACACACACACACACCCACTTCTCTTCCCTGGACTTGGTGGGAGTCTTATCTTACCTTCGCTGCTGGTGGCTGAGAGGCAGGCGGCGAAGGCAGCGAGGAACACCCCGAGGGAAGCTGACCTTTTGGCGGCTGAGGTCCCAGCCATGGTGCCCCCGGGGAGCAGGTGGCAACAGCCCGGCCGGCCGGAGCCCAGAAGCACCCAGCCGGAGTGCTGTCAGGAGAGCCCGGCTCATCCGAATGCACACTTTTCTCTCTCCCCCCCCCCACCTTTGCTCACATCCAGGCAAACTGCCTAGAAGGAGGGGACTTCGCTGCCTGTCACGGCTCCCAAAGCCAATCCCGTCCAGGGCCCGCGTGGAGATCTCCCTCCCTCCTTCTGGCTCTCCTCCACATCTCCCTCCCCACAACTCTGAGCATCGAGGCACACAAACACACTGGGCAGGGAGAGCTCCACATCTCCCTCCCCACAACCCTGAGCACTGAGGCACACAAACACACTGGGCAGGGAGAGTAAATGCTTACATGCCATTGGGAGGGAGGGCGAGCCGGTCCATCTCTTTCTTTCTCTCCCCCCCCCCATCTCCATCCATTCCTGTATCTCCCCTTTCTTCAGGAGGGGCAGCTTGGTGGGTCCTTTCTCCTGGAGTGTGGCAAATTGTTTGCAGTTGCTAGGAGACCCGAAACTTCCAGCTCGGGCCTCTCCACCCTGCACTGTTCCTCTGCTCCT